AAAAAATAAATAAATAAATAAAAAACCAAAAAAATAAACGCGACTGCCTTCTCCGAGATCTTTCTGAAGCCAAGACCGGCAAATCGTCGCCGACAAAAATCTTAATAAATAAATAAAATCTTCACTAAGAATGTCATCTGTTTAAAACCATCAACTCAAGGCTATTGCTTCTTTGTAAATGCATAGTGGGTTTTACTTGTAAAATAAATTAAAAAAAAATACATTTTATTTTAAGTGGAAGTCCAATTTTTGACTTTCGATACAAAATCTTTTACAGATCATAAAATGACATGCCAATGTATACTCTAGCTCACATTATTAATTAGTATATTATTCTTACCTTATTTTTCCTTATGAATTAAGGAAATACACTTTTGCCAATAGGTGATATTCGCAAAAGTGTATTTCCTTGATTTAATTATCGACTTACATACTTGCCTCCCTCTGTCTTTTTTACAAATACTTTCACGGCAACTGCTCCGATGAGCAGTTTTCGCTAGTTCCTAGACTTCATGAATTTAAGCGCTCAACTAGGCTGGCATCTCGCTCACACCCTTTCACTGTTAAATGTAGCCGTCTCTTCTACTCCAATAGCTTAATGTCTCGCACTTCTCACCTGTGGAACTCCCTCCCCATTTCTTGTTTTCCTGATAGCTATAATCTCCAACTATTTAAATGTAATGTCAATCGACATCTCCAGATGCCTTGATCTATCCCCTATCCTTCTCTTCATCCTTTCCTCTATCACTCCTATTTGCTCTCGCTCCAACTTTCTGTAACTTCTTGCGTGCTCGTGGCTTCCCGCCTTTCTTGAGGCTGAATGCTTAAAAAAATACACATCCTTTGATTAAGACATCCATAACTCAGATTAGTCAAACTGAATATACTCCATGGTATAAAAGGCGATGTTTACTATTTTCTTGTTAGGCAAAGACGCTTTGGTATTGCAAATTATACATTAGAGTTGGCCAGTGATATCTTATTGTAATATTTATTTTGATTCAAGTAAAAATCCATAGACATTTCGTTTCTATCATCATCGAATGACGTTAAGCAATGCAAAATACAAAAACAGCACTAATCACTCAATATATCGGACAATTAAAGAATGGTGATATTACACCTATTATAATAATGTGGGATATTGTAGCAAAAGCCAAGTCTTATAATGTGAAAAGCAATAGATGTAATTTATGTCTTGTTGAACAATTGGTTAAAATACCCAAATAACCCAAGATTATTAAACAAGAGAAATTAACTGATGGTTACATGCAGGCATAAAAATATATAACTGTTCACATCCGTTGATCCAGATTAATTTTTAATGTAAATTATGGTTGTTTTTTTAAGAACAATTAATCTCTCGTTATGCTTAAAATAAAAATAAAATAATATTTACAACACTGAAATATTTTTTTGCATATACACACACACACATATATATATATATATATATATATATATATATATATGTTTGTGTGTGTGTGTATCTATCTATCTATCTATCTATCTATCTATATATATATATATATATATATATATATATATATATATACCGTTTATTTTAAATGTCAAATATATTTTTAAAAATAATAAAACTGTAATCCCCGTATAATATATGGACTACGCCACCATTGCGATGGCCATATAATTTTATTTAAATTTAAATTATGTAACGGCCAGTCTATATTCAGCACCTGAAGATTGCGTTGTGGAGGAAACTCCGAGTCGTGCTACGGGTGAGCTAGTGCATGCATATTTACTAATATATATGTACGTACAAAGATTTTCAGAAATAAAGTGCCAATATAATGTCCAAGTATTTCAGAAAAAAAAGATTATGAAAATTTTACCGCATCCTCCTTATGCTCCAGACATTGCTTCATCTGACTATCATTTTTTTTAGATCATTGCAATATTTTTATATGGTAATAGTTTATTTAATGTGAAGAAGCTAAAACTGATATTGAACATTACTCTGCATTAGTACCTGAATAAGTTGACATCCGAAATATTTTTATCGTAAAAGCGAGTTCCTCGTACATGATAACTCAAGACGTTAAGTAATTCAGAAAAAAGTTTTCGTAACCAAATATGAAAGATTTACCCGATCTTCCTTAATTTCCTAAATTTGTTCCATCTGATTATTATCTATTCGCCTCATTGCAAAGGGAAAACAGTTTTTTTTTCTTTTGTAGTGAAGAGTTTCAAGCTGATATTCAGTATTTCTTTGCCCTGAATCTTGAGCAATATAGCTCTAACAGCTCAGTGGGGGAAACACAGACTGGTCACATTCAATGTATTGGATACTAAAATGGTGACATTTCACCATCGCTGAAACAAACCAGAACTTTCACCAATCGTGAGGACCGGATGCTCTCTGGGACTCAATCCAGACCTCAACTGGAACTTGTACATACGATCTATCGCTAAATGTTGCAGGTAAAATGGTCGATTTTCTGTACCACTCCAGCAAGTACCTGATTCCTGCTATCCTCTACTATTATAGGAGCCAGATCAAACCGAAAATGGTGTACTGCTGCCATATGTAGGCTGGATCTGCACATTCTTCGATTTCAAGAATTAAGATTGCGCTCGCTTTATCTTCCATTCTGAAACCTCTTCCTCACAGACGAGACGTCACCAGCCTCTCGCTGTTCTGTCCCTATTTCTATGGAGAATGTTCTAAGTTCCACCATTTCTAACCTTCATTAACCCATTGCAACGAACCCCCCTCATTTCTTTTTTATTTCCCTGGGGAGATATAAGTTCCACCCGAGCAGCTTCTCCCGGCGAACCACTGCCTTGTGGAACTGATTCGTAAGAGGATGATTCTCCATCCCTACAACTTGTTCAAGTCTAGGGTTAAACGCTATCTTCATCGGCGACTGGACCCTCAACTATCAACAGTCACAATGAAGGGATGTTCCCTCAAGGAATCACTTCGCCTTAAGCACCTTTTTGGATTTAAAATCAACCCAGACCTCATGTGGAACTCGTACATACGATCCACCGCTATCTTATAACGACTGGATACAACAGTTGGCCAAGCAGAATTATATCGATATTCAGTTTGTTGGTTTGTATTTTAAGTCAAAGTTATTCACACATTCTGTCTTCTTACCAGTAATTGCAAGGAAACAGGACGTATAGTTAGCAAGATTACGTTTTTTACAGTGAGAGTTATTCTTTAAAATGCCTGGGAGGCACTCGAGGTAGAGGTTTACTTTAGGGAGGCCATTTGTGTGTATAATTGAGGGAGATAACGATTAACTCTAGCCTTGAATAGGTTAAGATTGTAGTAATCAGGGGAAATATCCTGTTAGGAGTCTATTCCACATCATCGGCGACTGAACCCACAACTATCAACAGTCACAATGAAGGGATATTCCTTCAAGGAATCACCTCGCCTTAAGCATCTATTTGGATTTAAAATCAACCCAGACCTCATGTGGAACTCGTACATACGATCCATCTCTAAAGATGCAGGAAAAAATGGTCGGTTGTCCTGTACTGCTTCAGCAAGTACCTCACTCTTCCTGCTATCCTTTACCTTTACAAAAAGCCAGATCAGGCCGAAAATGGATTACTGCTGCTATGTATTGGTGGGAGCTGCCGAGTTTTCAGTTTTTATTCTCGATAGATTCTAAATGCAGTCTTGTGGGTGATGGATTATTTTCCTCTCTGCAAACCCTTTCTCACAGATGAGACGGGGCAAGACTTTCGCTGCTATATCGTTATTTCAATGGTGAGTATTCAAATGAACTACACTACTTAGTTCCACCAGTCCAGGTCTTCACGGTTAAGACCCGCCATGTCACGTACATTGTAGCGAACCATCTTCATTCCCTTCTTATTCTCCTAGTGAGATATAAGTTCCACTCAAGCAGTTTCTTCCTACGAACCACTCCCTTCCCTGATCATTACAATCTTCACCTAGTCTAGGGTTAAACATTATCATCATCGGAGACTGGACCCTAAACTATCACCAGTCACAATGAAGGGATGTTCCCTCAAGGAATTACTTCGCCTTAAGCACCACCTATTTGGATTTAAAATCAACTCAGACCTCATGTGGAACTCGTGCTGCAGAAATGTTTGATCCCATCTAACGGTGAAGCAATTGTCTGACATCCATTGCTATTCTCTACCTTTACAAAGGCCGAAAACAGAGCAAGATCTGCCCATTTTTTCACTTTTCATCCTTGACAGAGTCCAAAAGCGTCTCTGTATCGTTGGGGGTGACGAATTATTTTACAATCTTAAAAAACGGGATTCTACAAACGCTCGGCCACTATTTCCATCGAAAGTGGTCAGACAAAATACATTCCTCCGTTCCACAAGGTCTAACCTTCATTGCTACGACCCGCCGAACCACACGCATTCTCTTCGTATTCCTTAGGGTGAATTGTAAGTTCCTCTCGAACAGCTTCTTCCCATGTGCCGCTGACTTAGCGAACCGATTTCAGACGAAGCATGCTCTATCAATACATTCTTAAATTGCTCAAGTCTACGGTTAACCGATTTCTTCTAGACATATCCACATAAGGTGCGCTTTTTATTCTGCAACAATCTACCTGTGGATTTCGATGGCTAGTATAGAGTGAACACCATTGTAAAATAAAAGATATATACTTGCTGGGATGACGATATCGATAAAAATATGTCAACTGAGACTAAAACAAAGCAGTTGTTCGTTTTCAATCTTTAAATGCGAAAGAGTTTTCTCCCAAATTCATGACAATAATAATAATAATAATAATAATAATAATAATAATAATAATAATAATAAGTCTGTGAGGTAAGAATTAAATAATGCGGGGTATCCATTTCTATGACGTAACGAATAAGAAGCGCTTACCGAATCAAATGAATAAACGTCTCAGAAAGAATTCCCAATAATGTGAATAAGGGTTTCAGGAAGAATTAATAGATGCCAGATATACCCGAAGATGGTAAACTGAATGGGAATAATATAATAATAATATCTATCTATCTAGCTATCTATCTATCTAATGCTGTTCATTATCTATCTATCTATCTATCTATCTATCTATCTATCCCTGTTCATTATCTATCTAATGTTGTTCATTATCTATCTATCTATCTATCTATCTATCTATCTATCTATCTATTTATCTATCCAACCCTGTTCATTATCTATCTATCTATCTATCTATCTATCTATCTATCTATCTATCTATCTATCTAATGCTGTTCGTTTTCTATCTATCTATCTATCTATCTATCTATCTATCTATCTATCTATCTATCTATCTATCTAATGCTGTTCGTTATCTATCTATCTATCTATCTATCTATCTATCTATCTATCTATCTTCTATTCATTATCATTCATCTATCTATCTATATATACATTTATATACACAGATATTGATCTGCACATCGAAGTAACTTGATAATCATATTTGATTAAATTTAATTCTGATGCCAATATGACATAAATTATCTATTTGAAACAGTTGGGTTCAGTCCATGCGTTTAGATGATAAATAATTGTTTATTAACATGATCATATTCAGGGCGATGGGCGGAATTCTGAGAGAAAATCCCGTAGATGTTGGAGTCGCGATGGAACTGCTGGCGGCGACAACATTTGCCAAAGGATTTTCGGCATCGTGGGAACATGAAGTGTGGACGTTATCTGTCGCCGGCCTTCAATTGAAATATATCCCAAAAAGCACAAAAGATTTATATTGTAAATGTCGGTAGTTACGCAAAAAAAAAAAGAAGTTAAATGTATAACAAAAAAAAAACACAAAGCCTGGCAAGCGACTAAAGAAAATCACAAAAAGGAAAACCCATAAATCAAGAAAATAAGAGGAGAAAAACTACAAAAAATACGGAAGATCAACCCCAAAACTGTTAAGAAAGGACGAAAAACAGACATCTGCCTATGCAATAACATTTAGTGATCAATGTTTAAATGACTAAGAAAAAACAGGTTCTGTCCAATTAGATGTTATGTCCGGACTGAGAGATCTGGATAATTTACTCGAATATCAGTTTTAGATTTCTTTCTTTTTTCTCTCTCTCACTTCTCTCTCATATATATATATATATATATATATATATATATATATATATATATATATATATATATATACATTATACACACACACACATATATATATATATATATATATATATATATATATATATATATATATATATATATATATCTTATCATATATCTTTCTTTCTCTCAAAAAAATTTTCATGTAACCAAGTATTAATTGATTTCTCATGTCTTTTCATCAACTTTAAATGATATATTTTTTCTTTATATATATATATATATATATATATATATATATATATTATATATATTAGATATTAAGAGAGTGAGAATCAAATGTCAAACTGATATTCGATTTTATAGATGGACCCATATATATATATATATATATATATATATATATATATATATATATATATAAACATATTTTTTCCGATTTAATTTTTCTTTGTTCACCCTATTCTTCGCATCGTCAGACAAATTTTTGTCTGAAGATCGTCAAAAATTTTGAAACCTAAAATTCACAAATTAAATATCAAATCCATTTAAATATGTTAGCTCTATCACTGATATTGAAAAAACAAAAAGTTTAAATTATATATAATATATAAATAATATATATAAAAATTGCATATATATATATATATATATATATATATATATATATATATATATATATATATATATATATAGATCAATTTTAATTCATTATTTAATAAATAATATAGAAAAGTGTTGTCTATTTATTTTATTAAATTCTTTTCATAACGTCTGATAAATGAAAGATAACAATATCAATTTGGGTTTAATTTAAAAATATCTTTTATTTATATTCTATGAATATATATATATATATATATATATATATATATATATATATATATATATATATAATAATTTATATTATATATATTCCAAGGTTATAATTTATTACATTGACTAATCAAAAATTTCAAATCACCAGACCTACAAATTCAAATTTTGAAATTGTTGGTCTGATAAATTGGACATTGATTTCGATTCCATGTAATAAATTATAACCATGAAATATTAATTTTTTTTGAACCTTTTATTATATTCTTGCTCTGTCCTGGATTTTGAGCTCTAATTGATTCTATCCTCATTGAAATATATATATATATATATATATATATATATATATATATATATATATATATATATATATATTTAAACATTAAACGTATCTGAGTAAACGTATCTGAGTAAAGTTTGCGTTCTTCAATAATATTATTTCTTGAACATTCAGTCCGATTAAATAAAAATAGTTATAAAAATGTTTTAATTGCATGAATTTTGAAAAACGATAATTATCAACCTTCGACGAGAAAGTCAAATATACGTGTGTCCAATGTAATTAATGTAAACTGTTCTAAATTTTGTGAAATGACAAGTCAAATTTAAATTCTTTTCAAACCAACCATATTTTTGCTCAGCAACCACACTGTTTGGGAAATTATTATTGATAAGTGGTGGTTTTATTCTGCTTAATTCTTTATAAAATAATAATTCCGAAGATCAATCCTTTTAGCCCGATTAATCATGCTTTTAAACATTTATTTCATATACCTGGGGACATTTGCTTTCATAATTAAGATTACATGACAAGGTTCTTGTGGATTTCTTGTATATTGAAGTGATAAAATATGTTTTTAACCATTTCACCTCTAATCTTGACAATAAAGCCAGTAAGACGTAATGGGTTACAGAGTATTGAAAAAAAAATGAGGAAAAAGAAAAAACTACCAAGATGAGAATAAAAGAACAGGAATTAAGTAGACAGAGGATAGCGATCGACATTGTATTTGGAAGATCAAAGGTGACTGGAAATCAATAGGCTGGAAGAGAGATCCACAAGTAAGAAGTACGAAGGAAGAAACTGTTAGCATAGAACCTACGGTTACATCTAGCTATTTGAACTGTAAAAGGATGAGACTTTTCAACAAATCTAGACTATATACCATAGGGGATAGTTCATTAGAACAATAACCAAGAAAATATTTATAGAAAAGGCACAGGGAAATTAGCTTAAGGCGGTGTCAAAATGAAAGAAGCGGAGGTGCCTGATTAAGGCCGATAATATTTCAGATTATTCTTTGGATTTTATTTAAAATTCTTCATAAATATTGTTGGAGACAGAAGATTAATTTGATAAAAATTCGATGCCTGGTAAACTTATAAATGTGTAAGACACAACTTTGTGCAAATTAATTGAAACAAAACGAATTCCGTTATTATTTACTTTTTTCCGTATTTTTTCTGTGAAACATAATCCAGTGCACTTGTTAGTACTTCGTATGTCCATTCCACGAAGTCGTTCCTGCAGATTGACCACGGATTCTAGATTGGATTTAAATCTGGATAGTTTCCGAAACAATCTATTATACTCTGATTTGCTCACTGGTAAGGCTTGCCATTGTGTTTCGTGCAGCGTTACAATTTTTTTTACGCTTCCTTGGAATAACGTCTATCGCAGACAATGGCCGTAGGACAACTAATCGACAGTCGAGACAGTGTCTGGGCGTGATGAAAATCTGATGCAATCACGGATGACGCAATATTTTTCAAGGTCAAACAAATTTCATCATACACCCCGAAAATAGATTCATATTACTGCACACCACTGCAAATGACCTAATCTGAGGAAAAAATAGAAATCGATTACACCCTGTCACTCCAGTGGGTCTAAAACTGACCGTATGGTGAAAGAAAGGAAACTAAAGCCGTTGTTTCAATTAATTTGCACAAGGGTTTATATAATGCTTTTGTAAATAAGAAATATGAGTACATTTGGGTAAAACTATACACGAAAATGGATTCATATTACTGCACACCATTGCAAATGACCTAATCTGAGGAAAAATTTTCATCGATTACATAGTTTCACTCCAGTGGGTCTAAAATACTTCTGACCGTATGATGAAAATTTATTAAATATAAAGCAATTGTTTCAATTAATTTGCACTAGCATGTATTTACAATTCAAAATGGCCATTGTTGTTTTGTTGTTGGATTTGAAAAATTTTAATCAATATCTTAATTTTTTAATTATAAAATATATTTAATATACTTTAATATTGTATTGATTGTCATTGGTAATTTTACTATGAAAATGTATTGTTGGTAATTTTATTCTAAAAATGTACTGTTGTTTATTGTTTAGAGGGTTCATTATTTGTTCATAACTGGGACCCTAACAGATTCTGTCGGAGAAAGTTGTAATTGAGTTATTCCATTTGTATTATAATGGCTTCTAGAATGTCGAGTTGGCAATGAATTCTACATAATATTTTCGTATTATCTTCTAAAATTTGTCTCACGTTAAGAAAGAAGAACTACATTCGGCTGTGTGTTATATGAAGATCGATATGTAGATATAAGTAGAAAGTTTCGACAAGCGACAAATCAGTCTAAAGAGGAGAATGTAATTATGTTGTAATAAATGTAAATATTTAATGTTGTATTTTGATTAACAGTAATGGAGAAACAAACGCCCAAAGCAGATGTTAGTTTCTTTAATTTTTACAAAATTATACATTATAATATTAATAATTTCTGAGGTCTTGATATATTGTTAATTATTAGATTAAACATTTATAAATTTTCGATAGTCAATAGCAAAACCTAAATTTTGTTAGGATTATTCTATTGATATACCAATTTTTGATTATAAGTTTATGAGACATTGGTTGAACCCGGAAATTTTTATATCATCAACATCTATTGGTTTTTAATGGTAAATGCAAATAAATTGAACACAATTCTATGGCTTCAACTAAATATGTTTTCAATGCAATTGTATGCGTTTAACTATAAATACAATCTATTGTTTGTGGGTTTTATTTTATAATATAGCTATTTAACTTTTTCTCTGGATTTTTAATTTAAAAGATAGACCCAGAGAACGAAAACAAATTTCTTTTTAAATGTTCTTCTTCAGACCTTTGATCATTATTTTGCTGCCGGATGTAAAATTTATCGTCATACCGGATAATAAAATGAGTTTTTAAGTGTTTTTTTGTTTTGTTTTTTAAGTATTTCACCCCTAGCAAAGCGGGAAGCCACTAGCACGCAAGGGGTTACAGAGGATTTGGTGCGGGAGCAGATAGCAATGACAGAGGAGAGGATGAGGAGAAGGATAGTGGATAGATCAAGGCAACTGTCGATTGACATTACATTTGAATAGTTGGAGATTAAAGCTCTCAGGGAAACAGGAGTAGAGAAGGG